GCTGTGTGATCGCACAGGGCCCCGCGCTTCCTGGGACACCACAGTTAACAATAAGTCGAGCAAAAATCAATAGTTAATTCAAAATTTAATATGAAAAATCGGGGCCCCGGAGTAAAATTTACTAGTATGAACCCGAAAACCGTTTATTATTGTCAAATACTTCAAATTAAATTTTACCATGAAGTAGTCATAATCTTGGACATGCTAGATACTGATTAAACATTACGCCGATAGCGCGTAATGAATTGTTTACAGAAAAAAAATAATTAACATAATTGTAAAACCTTAGATTCTTTGCTTCACTCAGAATTTAAAATATTTTTATAATGAATTTGTACTGCTTGAGAACACTAAGTCATAATTTTTTAAATAATTCTTAAACCAAACATTTTTTATTGATAAGAAATTAAAAAAAATGGTAATTTTTATTTGTATTATAAGGTGATAACGCTTTTGTTACATCGTTTGAGCATTTGATTGAAGACTTCAGTCAGAAAAAAAGTAGAAGAATTTATTTTTGAAAGCATATCAACCATAACTGTAATGAAAATATAGATTTATATTGTACAAGGACACCCATATCGGGGGGAGGGGGCAAGGGAGGGATATGTCCCCCTCTGGAAAATGTCAACAATCTTGGAAAATTGTTTACTATGATAATAATATATATATAATGTAATAGTATAATGTAAAATTATAAGGCCCTTCCTATCAGGCCCGTAGCCAGGTTAAATTTTCAGGTGGGGCAAACAAAATTGTAGAGGGGCATTAGAAAAAAATCAATATTAATGCTATTTTTAATTTATTAATACTACTGTAATTTTTATAATAGGTACTTTAAATTAAAATAATAAGAATTAGAATAAAGTGAACATAATTAAATTTTGAATATTTTTATAATATATTATTTTTTGAATTTACCAGTTTTTTTTAAACTAAAACAGTTGTAATTTTCCATCTTTTTGCTTGTTGAATTCTATTAATAATACATCCAAATTTAAATTTTCAGTCCGTTTGGACTCAAACGCCAATAAAGCTAAATTGGATAGCCGTTTATGTTTCATCGATTGCTTTTGAGGATTTTCAAGTCGGGTTATACAGGAAAATGTTGATTCACAAACTGCTGAGCTACATCCAAATACTTCAACTGCTGCTATCATTTCATAAGTAGCTTTAAATGCTTTACGTTGTAGATAAAGCTCAAATAAAATGTCCTTATTAGATATATCATTTTCTTTTATATAATTTTTTACACAAATTGTTTCTTCTTTTGAAGGAATATTAATATTAAGATCTTTAAATATTTTAAAACTATCGTAATTCAATTTGTATATAATAGAAATAGCTTTAATGAGTTCATCATTTTTTTTAATAAATTATATTATATCTAACTACCACGGCTGTAGATAGTAAAAACCTACTATCTACAGTCATACTAACTACCAAATATCATGACATTATTAACTTTTGTTGGGGGGGCAACAATCAGGTCTAGGGGGGCAATGCCCCCTTTTGCACCCCCCCCCTCCCAGTGACTATGGGCCTGCTTCCTATACCGTGGATCATTCCTATTATGAATAGATTGATAAATTAAAATATTGTCTTTCCCTTGAGAATTTTCCTGTAGGCGTCCTTGATACTGTACCTTGTGCTAATATTATATTTTATTCTTAATCTATTTAAACTTTTTGTTTTATTTATAGACTGTTCAAACATCCCAACAGGTATTTTATTTAAATTAATTAATTATATACACGAAAAAAAAACCATAATGTACTATAGGTTGTATATGCAATCTACAGTTGTTAAACAGCGGTAATGATGAAAATCTGCTCTAAAAAGCATTAAAAATGCATAATTTTGCACCTAATTAAAAAAAACCCCCAATACAGTAGTAAGGGCCTCGCGGTGGCTAGAGCCACCACTGTGTACATCCTAAATGTATAATACTCGAGGTGTTGTGTAACGCGTAAATTATAAACTTAATGTGGTTTAGAATAATATGATGAACGGGTCATGTGCGGGATAGGTTAGCAAATCTTACAAAAAAAATTTAAAAAGAATTTATTCAAGGTATAGTTAAAATAATATTATGCGATATGCATTATACATTATGTGATATACACTTTAATACGTGTACGGAATTTTTTATAAAGAGAATAAAAGTTTAATTTATAGCTGGTTTCAAGAATTTTCGACCAATATAATATATAAGTTATACGTACTATAAATTATATTTATATACGATAATTCCGTTATTCCACGAGACATATATTTCATATTATATACACTTAATCATTGCACTGATGTACGGTATAGAGGTAGGTCATGTAGGGTGGGTCTCACTGATCATGTATACAACACCACTATAATATAGTGGTTTTTAGTATGTAACGTATACATACACGCCACTAAAACAGATTTACAACTATTCGAATACTTGTACTGTACTAAGTTTGAAATAGGATTAGATTTGCCTAGATTTGCCGATGTGTTAGTTCAATACAGCAGTTACTCAAAAAAAAAAAAAAAAAAAGGAAATTGTATATTCGGAAACAACGGACGGTCTCAACAAATGTAAAAATGTAGATAACGTCAAAAAACAGTGTATTTTTACTCTTTTGACGGTCATGACTTGGATTTTCAATCGTCTCGATTAAATATCATTCAAGAACAAATTAATTTGAATAAAATATTTTTCGATTAAAATACAATTTATTCGACACCGGAAGGTAACTGTGCAAGTGTAAGAATTTAAATAAGTTTTACACGATGGAGAAGAGGAGAAAGGCTTAAAACATTATAGAGTCCCCGTCTGAAAATCGTGACATTCGCAGCACACACGAGCAATCACGCCGATGCCGCCGGCGAACTATACTTTTATAAATTTCTGAATGCCGAGTATTGTATTTATTGCGGTATATTCCGGGGTGGATTTATGTCGATTATGAATTGATTATTATTCATAACGGTAATTGTTGTTCGTCGAATGAATGCCGATTACAATATTCGTTCCGTGGAAATCGTTCGTCTTATAATCGCATGAATCGAGATCTTATGTATTAAATATTTGATGACATTAGATAACGAAAACGATTTTCGCAACAGACATAAAAAAAAAAAAAAAAAATTAAAACAATATTAATAGTTCCGATCGGAATATAGTCCGTACTGTGTTTCATGGTTTTCCGAGTAACTCGACGTTATACGCGTTAGTTACAAAAAAAAAAAAAATATAAAAAATATAACTCTTAGACCTCGTGTAACCCTTCGAACCGTGCATCGGGACACGACGGGAGCGCACATAAAACGGTGCGCCTCGGTGATAACCGCATTACAATGGCAATGCTTATTGTGGTCGTTTTGTCGGCGAATCGTCTAAAGAATCGTTTCATAACACTGCTCAGCTCTGTAACGGACAGTGCATGCGTGTCGGCCGGCGCTGCCCACCGAACGTCATCTCCGAGCACCGCTGTTTCCCCCCTACTCCCCCTCGCTCGTTGCCGGTCGACGTGTAAACATTATCGAAATCGGAAACGCATATATTTACGTACACACGTTTCTGTCATGTGTTATGTCTACGAACAAATAATATTGTGGCGCGTTTGATTTTTCGGAGATCGCACACGCGCCGTGTACGTGGGCGCGCGGACGCGGTACAACAACAATAGATACATTATATTTTATCCGTGTCACGCGCACGCATCGGCCGCGATCCATCGTAACGGTGCCGCGCGTACTACGTTTTTCGATAAATCGCGTTTCGCGTGCACCACGATGCCGCCGTACGCACGTATTTATTTACGCGTACGCAGTGTTGTAGGCGCGCACACGACGGCGGCGGTGACCGTTTCGCCGCTCGTTCCGATACCGTTCGCGTACGGCAGGCGCATGCGATGGGTCTCCGATAACGTACGGAGACGAGTCGCCACCGCCGTCGTTTCCTACGCGGAAAACGTGCGGTGTGCGCGCGCGCTCTACCGCGTTGGTGCACGTGTGTGTGCGTGTAAGCGTACGAACGTGTACGCCGTACGGACGTGTAAGTTCACGAACGTGTACGAGCGTGTGTGAGAGCGCGCTGGCGCGCGGGCGCGCCGCCGCTCGTGAGAGTGTGCGTGTGTGCGCGCGAGCGTGTGTGTACGTACCGTGGTCCCTGCTGCGGGGCGCGCATGTGTTTTGTAACGATTTGGGGGGAATGGTGGAGTAGGTGTCGCGCGCTAACGGCAAGAGCGAGCGGGTACGCGCTGTGTGCGGTGAACGTTTTCAGCGAGAAAGTGTGCGGCGGCGGACGAGGGACGGTCATGGGTTTCGGCGGTGGTGACGGCGGCGGTGGTGGTGGCGCGGTGTCGACGGTCCGTGACGGCGGTGGCGGTGGCAGAGCCGAGGGATTATATTTTACCATCCCTCACCCCCCTATCACGGCGGCGTAACCTAGCCGCCCCCTGTCGCCATCGCCGTCGTCGTTGGCAGCCGCCGAACGGGTGCGCGCGTACGTACAGCTGTGCGCGACGACCGCCGCCGCCGCCGCCGCCGACTTCGTAAGCGCGATGCGGGGAAGGGATGCGCGATCGGTGGGCGGCGGCGACGTCACTGGTGATGGAGGGAAAAGGGATCCCCGCCGCACAATAATCGTTTCGGTTTTTTTTCTTTCTATTTCTTTCTTTTTGTTTCCTTTTCTTTTTCTTTTTTTTTTGTCTATTTTATTTTATTTCATTTTTTATTTTTATTTATTTTTTTTTTTTTTTTTTTTTTTTTTTTTTTTTGGCACACGCCGCCGGTACACGCGAACCGAGTTGAGTAGTCCGACGACGACGGTAGTAGCGAAACGACGACGACGACCGCGGTGGCGGCGATATCCTACCGGCACACCGGCGACAACACGCGACGGTCGCGCGCGCACATACACACACGTACACATACACGTACACGCAGACGCACACACACACACACACACGCGCGCGCGGGCGGGCGGGCGTGCGCGCACATAGACATCGGAGTCGAGGAAAAAAAATTTTAAAAAAAAATAATAATAATAATAATAAAACGAGCCGCGTAAGCGTATTTGGTTTTTTTTTTCCCCCCCGTCATTTCCACGCGGCACACAGCAGTCCACGTCGCGCGCGGCCAGCACCACCGCGGCAGAATAACACAGACGTCGCGCGCGTGCCACACTCGTCACACGCACTTACGCGCGAACACGCACACGCACTCGTTTTTTCCAGTCAGTCTCTCAGTCCGGTCGACCGCACGACGACGACGACGACGACACCACCGACAGTCCGCCACCGGGGTGACAAGACCGACGTCGTTATTAGCGCGCACCGTTCAACGCGCCACGGCCGTTGTTCATCGTAAAAATATCGTTCGGACGGTTAGGTTTTTCGATTGTTTTCCAATTGTTGTTGTTTCGACGTTTCCCTCCCATATAACGATAATCGTTATATTTTTAAATTCAATATACGCGCGATTCGATACGGCGAGCGCGCGCTCGCGCCCGTGCATTAATTAATCCCACACCGGCGCCGCGTCGCTAATTGAACGGATCGTCGAATACTATAACATAGACGCGCGTGTGCGGTCGTCGCAATCCACGAAAAGACGACTCCGTGTGACATCTCGAATTTCACTTCGTTCGTACGTTATAGATTTTTTTTTTTTTTTTTTTTCCCCCGTTTTCCTACCACCGCTCGGTCTTGTGGTCGTTGTAACACCACTATTGGCCACTGTTGTGCTGCCCTTCAGCACGGTTTCACGGTGCAACCCAACGGTCCGGCAGCGGTATACCAACGCAAAGGGTAAACCGATCATCGCGTGGTCCGACAACTGACCGCCGCTGCAGTGCGATATCGCAACGAGTATTATGGTGATACGCGTGGACTACTTCGGTACGGTCGGACGGTTGAGACGGCAGTGGCAGCACGTGGTGTCTTCCGGATCGATAGTTACGGTGGTGATAAAAATGCGCCTGCACCAGCGACACCGCCAGATGTACCGCCGTTCGTTATCGTGTTGCTGCTAACACACCGGACGACAGCACAACAACCGCGAGCACCAGGTAATCATTACGGCCGATTGATCGTATTACGCTTTTCGTGATTGAATTAACGAACGCCGGCCGCCGGTGGCCGGAGCGCGGTGTAACATCGGTATGTGCCGCGTAACGTGTACTCGTACGTACGGGTACAATGTCGCGTGTACCTGCACCGCAACAATATTGTTATTATTAAAATCGTACGTCTGTTGTACCGTTCGTATACCGTTTTTTGTACAACGAAATATTGTGCACCTATGCGATAAAACAGCTAGACGTGCACGCGAATCGCGCGATCGCTAATTCGCGCGCACGTATAATCCAATATAGAGTAATAGCGTCGCGACTGTAGTGCATAACAGTCCCTAAAATCGTGTCCAGCACGACACACTTTGTGTAGTACGAAAAGTGCAGTGTGCAGTACGAAATTTAACAGTGTAATTAATTTTAATTCAAATCAAACCTTTATGATAATATTATGTACAATTTTATAGTAACATAACTTCGCCAATTTTTTTTTTTTATACCTTAATGATTTTTTGACAAACCATATTTTAATTATTATCTACGTTTTACACGGACACGCAGTGAACAATATTTTTTGTTGTTATTTCTCATACTCATATTATAGTTGTTATTATTCATTGTTATTGAGAGTAGCTATTTTTAATTTTATCAGCTTAGTGATGTTTATCGAGAAATAATCCGCTGATAGTATTATTGTTTAAACTTAATATTTTACCAATATAACCAATAACTAGACACACTGCAGACGTTAGACAGTACTGCAGTCTACAGTAGACATATTTTAGTAATAGGGTTTTTATACTTCTTCATAGTTTTCTACGTCTATACGGTCACGTCATGTTTCTTACGGCGTTTAGTTGTTCGTAATAGTTTTATTTCTACATATTTCCATCAATACATACATTTTTAATAAAAGGAAATGGTAAGTACTACCTTATTGTAAGCTCAAATATAGCGTTATCACTCTTTAACAAAATAAATTTAAATTTAACGAAACTATATAATAAAATATTTTATGGAATCAAACATTTATCCTTCAAAATCGTTTCCATTTAACGAATTAATTTTGAGTTATTTTTCTGCAACAAATTTAAAAATGTTTGCCATATATTTATAATTTTATAAATAATAATAATATAATATATAATATATAATATAATAATATTTTAATATACAATTGTTAATCAACATTATAGGTCAATCATTTTTTTTTTTTAGTAACTTCTAATAATTCTTCTCAACATTTAGATATTGCTTCAAAAAAACTGATTTAACTGGTAACTCTAATGTTAATATCGCAAGTTGCACTAGTGTAGCTATTAAAAAAAAAATAAAGTTTAATCCTTGATAACGTTTTTGAAAAACTAGAATGTGTTAAAGGTAAAAAAATGGTAAGGTGTAGTATATGCTATCGCCATTAACATACATTATTCATGCATATCAAGCAAAAAAATCATATTCCAGCTATATGTAGTGAACTAGGTACTGCTTCACGTAAAGAGGTTTTAAAAACCATCTCCAGTCAGTTGAGCATGTTGAATGTGTTTAAGTATTTCAATAATCAAAATCAAACACAGATAAAATTAAAAAAATTGTTCCAATAGACAAATGCATATCTTAACAAAATCAAAAATTAGCAAATAAAATAAGTTCGTTTATGTAGAAAGGTTAATTTCCTGTTACAACATTATGAAAACCTCAAGAATAATTTCTTTAACACCAGAAACCATTAAAGATTCTCTTTATATTCGAATTAATATGGTAACTGTCAATAATTTTAATCCAGAACCAGCTGTATTATTATGGTTGAACAAAAAAGATAGACATATCAAAAAATACACTAAGGACACACAACAAAAATACTTTGAAAGTGTTTTTCCCGACGCTAAACGTCAAAGAAACCATAATTTATCAGAAGTTAATATTTAAAAAGATTTGTTCTTGAAGTTCCTTTATATTGGTAAAATATTACGGCACTATTTTAAAACTATTGCTTTATACCTAACTAAAAGGTTAAAATGTAATGTATAATAATAATATGTTGATGGTATATTAGAGTAAATTTATGTATAAATGAATTAATAATAATTCAATTTCGTTTACAGTAATGAATTCATATATTAATTATACATGCTTTTATTTAATTTATATTATGCGTTATTGGTTTAAGAAGACCATAAGTATCCGGTAATAGTTTATAGAGCATTGATTTTTAATTTAGATTTGACTGATTTGAGACTGTGGGAAGTACGAAAATTTTGATATTTTAGGGACTGGTTGCAATACTCGTCGCAACGTCACCGCGTCGTCGTTACACGTTTCACGTGTATATATATATACGTGCACACATCCCTTTGCCAACGTGCATTATATTGCTGATAATTCCATTGCCTGATAATATAATAAGTGCGAGTTCACACACGTACGTAGAACGCGTACCTATCAGCGTTCGCTGCAACTCCACGCTGCTGTACCAGTTGGAATATTACTGCAACGGAGGAGCGATCGTAGGGTCAGGAATTATATGATTCGCGTATCAATATTTTGTTCATCTTTTAGCGCAGTCGTACGCAACCTGGGGTTGGCCAACGGTTAACGCCGATTGAAAACTTTATATATTACGTATATTGTTTTATATGATTTTATATTTCATATAAAACTCTAATTTTGCATTTTTTATGTTTTGGATATCGCCTAAAATAAACGGTTTCGTCTATATGGATAAAATGTATATATCATACACTTACATATTGTTGATGGGAATAGGGGTCACCAAGTCGAAATAAATTCATTTGAGGGTCGTGGATCAAAAAAGGTTGCGCACCGCTGATTTAACAGACGCCAGTGATTTTCATCACAAATCGTATCGTTCAAATTTATCTGCTTTCATAGTCGTTATAAGATTTTTTTTTTATGTCGATTTCGTTTTTTACGGAAACATATTAGATTTTGTTATTTTCGCGCTCTCCGATTCACGTACTCGACCTAATTGTATATGCTACGATGTTTTATTTAGTGAATTGCTTAATTAGTTATTATTAGAGCCCGGATTTATATGCATTTGCATGTTTGTACTAAGTGTATGTACGTCTATGGAGGTTTAAAATGTCCACGATTCATATCATACCAAATTTAAACACCAAATTTTATATTGCATATTTGTTCATAAATACATATTAAAACATGCATATTAAATGGGTTTTTAATAAATTAAAATTTTTGGTTTTTTTTTTTAAAGTTTTATACTCGTTTTTTGAGACTAGGTAACTTCAAATAATCAAAAATATTTATTTTCAGTTTTTTTTTTTTTTTGTATTCTCATTTTTAAGTTTCCTAAAAGTTTTAAATTGATTTAAATGATTTGACATTTAAAGCAGTGGATATTATCATTTTTTTTTTGTTTTTGATAAAATATTTAGAATTTTATTTGGTATAAAAGTTTGGTTTTAAAAAAAAAAACCACATTTTATAAAGTGTAACATAGTGCATATAATTGCATATTTAGACACTTTTTCTTTGCATATTTGCACCATATTTGACACTTTTTTAATGCATATAACTCCGGGCTCTAGTTATTATTGACTTTTGTGGTTTTTTTAAGCTACAACATTACCGACCAGTGTTAGAATAATATAGATATATTTCTATTCCACACGCTACAGTATTTTTTATTTATATTTGAGCTAACCGTAAAATATTTATTATGTTATTTACGATCGGTATTTACTAGTATCAAGTTTTTGATTATTGATTTTTGTATCATTTCCATTGGTTTTACACTAAACTAATGTATTATACCATCCCGTGACAAAATGTGGTCGTTTAAATGAATGGATGGGTGGGGCAACAACGTCCTCTTTGGAAGTTGGTTGGCGTGTATTTAGTTTGGTATTAATTTGTTTCACCATAGTTTAAAAATTTTTTTAAACAAAAAAAATAATGTTTCTATTTCAAAATATTTATGCACAAATGTATTCAAATATCACATTATTGATGGAATTCAAATACTCTTCAACGTTTTTAAAGCATCAATTTCCTAACAAAATATATTTATTTCGGTTTTCGAAAACCGTATAACCGTATACCGATGAGACTTGAGCACGCGACAAAAACATAAATTGTGCATTAGGTATTTATTTCAAATTAACTGTATCGTGCACGTTGTGAACTCGTAAACCGATAATATTTCGTTGAGCAGTAAAATTATTTCAATAACGATTTGAACGTTAATTAACAAAATAATGGGAAACCACAATCTCGAAACACCACTCGTTATCAATCTGGACGTAACCATCTAAACGTCTAGACGTAGCCGGTATACGAACAATTTTTTTAAACGTCAGCGAAATCAGTTTTGTGTATCAAACCGTTTCGGGTATAACGGGGTAAGGGATGCAGATGTGATGTCGGTCGGCCGCCCGGTTACAGAGGCGGCAGCGGCGGCTAACCACCGCGAATCGATGTGAGCGTAAATCATCATATTATACCGCGGTGCGATTATCTAAAAATCGGTGGTCTTCAACGGTCAACCGTGTAAATTTAGTAAAAATACAATACGACGCGTACGCGATGCGATACGAGGACACGGCAACGACTTAGGGAACTCGTATGTCGCGTATCGCACACCTACTTTGCACCTGTATATACCTACTCTATAAACTAATGCGGTTTCGTGTTTTTTTTTTTTTTTTTTTTTTTTGTCTATTTCGCGGCACATATAGCATATAGGAGCTGTCCGGGAGACGAACGTTCAGCAGTGTGGTAGCGGCCATCGCTGTCAATCAATGATTGATCGTTAGCACAGCAATACCAGACGGAACAGCAACATTTTGCGGTCGCTGCGATATTATGCTATATACCTGCAGTCAGGTGCAGTGGCGACGGCGGCCTACTACAGCAGTGGCTGTGTTGTTGGCGGTCACGATAATACTAACAGGCGTGTCGACGGCACAGCAGTTGAAACAACAGCGAACGGCACCGGCGAAGAGCGCACTTCAGGCTTCTTCAGGTAACGCAACCTTTTTTTTAGTAATACACATTCGCTGTTTACGAGCGGCTTACGATATCGCGAAACAATATAATAGCAATAATAATAATTATAATAACGATATACGACGTATGATTAAAATAATTTTACTACGCTGCCGTCGGGGCGGCACAAAATCGAGTCGTTGTCGACTCGCAGCTGCCGCCGACGTGTGCGTTGTCCAATCGACTCCGGTCGATCCGACGTCCGTTACACAGAAAACGCTACTCGCATACATCATAGTTGTGAACGCTGATGAAACACATTTGTTAAAAATAAATAAACGCGTCCAGTAATTGTTACGTATATATATATATTATGTTACTAAACATGTGTGGTTTGAACGGAAAATCAAAATTATTACTAAACTCATGTGTCACGTTCGTCTGGTCACGTGTATATACATATATATACACATATATTATATCGTAAATGTCTCAATAAGTCTACGTTAGCAATCCCACCTCGTCGTCTTCACACACGACCCTGAAATTAATAGACGCACTCGAGATATAAATGTATATTTTTCATACAGTGGTTTTACACATACTGTGAGTAAATATACACACAATGCCCTAACACCATTTTTGTATACAAATAAACTATTCTACCCGTCACCGTCGCATGTGCTGGCTAATATATGTTCATGGGATTTGGGATTTCTGTTTCTGTATTCATCTAAAAACATATTTCATCGATGTCTCTTTGTACCATTATATTATTTTTTTTTTTTTTTTTTTTTTTTTTAGTTCGTCGTAGGTAGCCCCTAAGCCGCCCCTCTAACCACCCCTATACGTGTCATTTTTTTTTTATTTAATAATAAGAAAAAAATACCATATGCTCACGTACCATATATTTTTACTCGCACACTATTTACTCAATAAAATCGTAAAACGTTTACGTTTACTTATGGCGAATATTATTTTTTCCCCCGGACCATTGGCTAACTAGTGAACAACTGCGGTTTACCTACAGGTTAGCGGGAATTCATATCCATTTTACCCGGCCGAGATGACCCGTCTGATACTAACAATTATTACTGCTACGTCTGTAATATAATTTTTACTATGAGCACGAGCGATGGCAGTGAATAATATAACCGCTGACACGAAACTACGGAATGGTATACATGTATTATAGCATATTAGCATCGTCTGCCACCGTAATAATATTAAATGTAATGTAACATCCGTCACCACTGCCGCCCGCAGTAAAAAGAACAGAAGATTATTGTGCTTGTGTTTTTCTGTTCTTTATATTTTTAACTTGAAACAAACCGAAAAACTGAAATGTTTTTTTTTTTTTTTTTTAAAAAGAAAAAGATAAATGCACCGTTAGACGTATTACAACGTTGACGTGTGCGTGTACAACCGAGTGATCGAAATAGAAACGTCGTTTATAAACATCCTTGTGGTCGGCAACGGCTTCCATAAATAAAATATAACGTTTAAGATCTAAAAAATTACTTTAATATCTTAATATTGGCGGTCGAAGCATTTGGTGCGTTGCCATTGCCGATCGTCTCATTACGCGCGTACGAACGCACCGCTATAACATTACACGGCGGCTACTATATGCGGCTATCGTGTGTCACCACCACCGAGTGACCAGCTGTTAATTTACCGTGTCCCTTCGCGCACCATCGACGCATCACATCTCAGTGCACATGACCGCACACGGGGGTCGCCTTATTTTCTCCGCAATACACCTCTACGCCGCCACGCTCGCAGGCCCGTTTCTTCCACGCCACTTGACGGCAATAATAATTAAAGACACGTGCGCTGTCAACGTTGGTCGACCGTGTGAAACCCCCCAAAAGTACACGCGCGCTCAACGTTATTCTTTGCCGGTTTTTCGGTAACGCGATACGAATGTACGTGTGCGTGTGCGCGTGCAGCGTCTAATGCAGCGTCTGAAGTCTCATTAATTGTCATTATACCCGAGCACTACATATGTCGTCTCGTTATTATGTACACCAACAGTTGTGTTACGCGCGGCGTACATGTGGCACGCGAACGATAGACGTGGAAATACGTATTTTTGTTTAAACGGACAACAAACTATTTTCAGTTTAGCGGCTATACGTGTGTACACGTTTTGGCCGTAACTCGACGCCACCGCTGAAATCGTCGCAGTTGTCGTCGGCGTTACGAGTTCGACGATGAATGGCCCACACAATGTCTAATCTATTAACCCGTCCGCGTGCACATCAATGCATAGAATACGACGTGAACTCGCGCCGCGCACAATTAAACATACGATTTCGATCGTCTTACGCGCTCGAACGGTATTCGTTTCGAGATTCGCCTGGAACATTTTAATTAAATTCGCGTACGAAAACTGTACTCGAACGATCTGCTGAGACTAGTAGAGCCGTACCTGTACACGGGTATAGTCCAACACATCTACATATCGTACACGGAGTACTCAACTATAGATCTGTATACGTGTTCTGCGAGTGCTCTCGAAATCCATTAGCAGAGTACGTGTTCTTCAATGTCGCAAAAGTGTTGAATAGACTTCAACATCGTTGTGTCGCGCGATTACCTTTTCGGAATCAATATTTAAACGGACGTTTTCGTTGAAGTAAAAATACCGTGTTTAAATTACTATTGCACCGATGTGCAATAATACTAAGTAGGTTTGACGAATGTTTAAAGCAGGCCTAATCTACTGTTCAAAAATATTGATTAATTATCAACACGTTAATATGTACATATGTTATGAGCATTACGATGATAGTTTTGTTATAAATATTGCACGTTCGATTGAGTATTTCGTCGGTCATCCACGCTTACGCGTATACGTAATATTATTTAATGCGCACGCGTTTTGTATATTATTATATCGTTGTATACATCGTTTATTAAAATTAGGTTGATTTCAATTAAACACCACTTACATGTCAAACATGATACGTTTATTACGTAATATCTTTGTCATATTAAAATTGGTGTGAGAAAAGGTGAGAGCCTAAGAAACGAGACACACGCCGTTTTTGTAATATTTACAAATGCTGCGATTTTGACCGGGCTAAATACTACCGATGACGACATTCGTTCCTCGAAAACACGTATAAATGAATAATCGACTGCTATTTTTTTCACTATAGGATAATACTGCGAATTATTCAATCCTAATAAAAAAATTTGCATAGCTCATCACGAGTTCGATAAACTTTTATACATAGTGACAACATATGATGTTATACACGTGCGTGATTCTCAATTATTATTACTATTATTATTATTATTATTCACAAAATGTACTGTGATTGAAACTATTTCTGTAATTGTAAATTTAAGTGTCTTACTGATACATCTGTTTGTATCCTGCATATACAATATACCACGCGACGAAAAATTGATTTCTCACCGAGACAATAATGTAACACAAACGAAATAAAAATAAAATAATAACCAAACAAAAGAAAAAAAAGGGGGCGCATTTGAAGAGTTATATAAGGGCGAAGGAATTGATTAATAGCTAAAATCGTCAAAGTTATTACGCGACAATGATGGTACCGAATGGTACGATATTTTATATCTGATGGCCAATAAATTATTATATGACCATTAAAGTGTAGTGAAGATATGACATGCAGGGTTATCTGAGTTTTACGCGTATTACTGATGATGTTATATGTTCTCGCGTGTATCGTTACGATCTTATTGGCGATACATATTAGTTGATAATCGAAGTTTTAAAAGTTGATTGTTAAGTAAACCATAATAAGTCAAAACCTTAACAATTCGAATCGATGGTCGGATGGGAAAAACTTTCCATGATGTTGTAATAAACGTTCCCAATTATTCAACGTTTTGAATAACTCAAAGTATGTACATAACATGAAAGTTAGTACTTAATCATATAATTTATTAACCACAGTCAGAGATTAAATAGGAAATGAGTAGTAATGTCGTCTCAATTTGCATTGAAAAAAAAAAATCGTTCTAAAAAACAATTAACATTGCGCATAATAATAAATCCTATAATAAAAATCCTATAATAATCTTCGCCTCAGAGTCGAAATAAAAAAACGTGGCAGTAATGGTTTTGATCTGCGATCAATATACATATTAACACGATTACAATTACGATTAATAATATTTCTCCCTTGAAGTCTTCTTTAGTTATACATATTTTCGCGATGCAACCTCAATTTTCAAACCGTAAACAAAGGTTATATTTGTATGCGGTATTATATGTTATTGTGAGCTTTAAATTTTATATTTATCTCTCCGTTTTCTTTATTTATTTTGATGTTTTTTTTTTTTTTTTACTTTGGAATAATTACCTCGTGTTGAATAAAAGGAGATTTTCTGTTCCTTTCCATGGGGTTAAATAACCATTAGTCTTTTGTGTCTGTTTTTGGCTAATATTCTAAATGAAAAATGTATATCAATTTAATCAAAGATATGCATTTATATTGTCATAATGGTAATATATTTAAAATTCAAGCTTTTATTCACTAAGAAAAATTATTCATCCATTAGGTTTTTATGTAAGTAGGTATATACCTATATTATGTGATGGGTTATAATCCATTTTGCAGTCCGTTTTTTCTCATTTTTTTTTTTTTTTTTTTTAAGTTGGAGTTTTTACACATCGCATGGCTTTTTTCAACGACCGTTAATTTATTTTATCTTTCTTTTATAATTAAACTAATGTAATTTTCACTTTCAAAGCTAATGCTTTTTAGTGAATATTATTTACAAAATTAAAATTAAAATTTTATTAAATTGGGCTTATGTAAGATTTTCAACAAACGCAGACTGACATATTCTGTGTTAAATTTACAATTACTGTAATATAGCCGATAAAACTACACTTTTAAGTTATTTATCGTACTAAAATGTAAAAAACATCATAGATATTGAGTTTTTCATATTATTCTGTCAGTAAAAGTTGTGTTATGAAATATTTTTCAACTTCCCTTCTTGCGAAATTTAACTAAAAAAATATTAGTTTGACGTAAAAAATTAAGATTGTCGATATTTGATTTCTTTAGAAAATCTGTTTTAAAATCATCAGACTACTCTTATATCGGTGGTATTTATTTTTTGCCATTGATTATACTGTTAAAATTAAAATGTAAAACAGAAAGAGTGCAAAATCGCGTAATAATAGAATTTTTATGTTAGTTATTTCTTAGTCATCGGATCAATTAATAAGTTTACGTACTTCACACCTTCATAGAACCTATTATTATTATCAAGTGCACCTAAATAAATTTTAAAATTTATAATCCATGTGTGGGCGGTTAATATATTTACAATAACCAAAACGTACGTTTTATACTATTTAAACTATTTTACGTTCAATGGTGAGAAACATTATCTGATTTTTAGACGAAAATATATCAAATTAATAAATATAAATATAATTAATATATATACATATATTATATTTATAAAAATATATAATGGTGATATCGCCAAAAATGCTATACACTCCGGTTTCCGGACCTCGGTCACGACTTGGCGGAGTTTCAGCTTTCAATGCGTCTGTTACACGAACAAGACGTTTCGGTGTTACGTACAGACGTACAGTCGCGATACGTCGCAAATTATACATTTTATGATACTCATGACTGTTAACGATTTATTTTATAGTTCCCGACAATACTAATAATGTTACTCGTGTTTTATACATTCAAAGAAAGCGTAAAATTATGATCTACATTTATTGGTTTACGTATCTATTTGATATGAAGTAGCTATTTCTTTCTCCACAGCATTTCGCAATCGATTTTATAATGCTATATGCAGATATATGCTATATCTGTTCTTGAATTTAAAGTAAAGTTTTTTTTTTTTTTTAATATTCTTCTTTGGACTTAATTGGATACAAATAGGATTGAATATTGAATAATGATCATTACCAATAGTGTGGTGTTAAAAAAAAATTGATCTTGATTCGAAATAAAAAGCGTGGTAAATAACTTTTTCCCTCGCACTCAGATATGAACATTTAACATTTTAATTAGTGTACTGCAGTACTATTATTTATACACAATAATGATGAACCATATTACAAATATTACTTTCGAAGTGTGTGTGTGTGTGTGTGTGTGTGTGTAACTATAAATCTGTAATGTTTATACATTGTACAAGTAGGTAAATTTAATTCGTCATATTTATTTATTATTATAGTGTATAATATTATGATAAATAAGTAAATATATATGTGTATATACGTTGTATAAATGTTTATTTAAATCAAATTAATTACCTATTGGCTATTACTGTTATATGCTTCATGTACTAACAAAATTTAATAATCCACTATAGCTTTAAAATATATTATGGTTTAGCACACCACATGTAACAATTATTTACGTTTATAGTACAGCGGTGGTGCTACGGTAATCTTCTACATTTGCATTACTAACAAATCTCCAGCCCTATAAATATAGCTTTAGTGCTTTTAAGAATTTTACATTCAGCAATAAACTTGTGTGGTGGATTTATACGCTTGGATTTATTTTGTTTTATTCATTATAGCTGATGCATATAAAATTAATCAATATTAACTGTTATAACTTATAAGTTTTCTTTTGAACCAAAAGTCAATTTTTATTTATTAGTCTTAACGTGATAAAAATTCTATTAATTTTTTTTGGTCTTAATGTGACCGAACAATATTTATAAGCTATATCAGTGATAGAGATTAAATATTTTATGATTGTTGTACTAAATATTGTTAGAAGTCCAATATTATGTTATATTATTAACATATACTGTGGTAAGATTTAGGAAGAATATGGAAAACAATTTTATTATTGATAAGTTTATCTTTATGGTGAATAATTATATTTATAGTCTTAAAAATTGTAAGCTGATAACTGTTAAACGAAAGATCAACGAAATTAATTTATAAGAACCATAGCAGAAGATAACGTACACAAGAATAAACAGCATCTGCTTATTACGTTTTGTTTTAAGTCTACATGTAAATTTAATGTAATCATTTTTATGTCAACTAAGTGCCGACAGTACTGTTATCTTTGAGAATATTAAGTATATATATTTCTGTACTCCAAGCATTATACACGTATAATACAGAAACAGTTATGTTTTCTATTTTAATTTTTATATTATTTATCAAAATAAAAATATCACGATAATGTTTTATTTGTTTCTGTAGCGTAATTCGTTTGCAAATATATTTCTTTGTAAGACATGTTGAATTAAATTACTATATTTGACGACAAATATGTTGGATACAAATAGCAAATAAAACAGTGTGACATACTTTCAATATCACAATTTAATTGAAAAAAAAATCATTATTCACATTGCAAAAAATCTTAAACATACAATTTACACGATCTCGATACTTAAATGCTTTCATTGTGATGCAAATTACAAAGTTTAATATTTGGAAAATAATGATTGATATTTATTAATTATTAGCAATAATTAAACGTATTATATACATTGTACCATTCATATAATGGTAATATTATGTTACATAAAGTGGACATCTAAATTTAATTGAGGTTATTCGATAATTAATCGTTAGTTTCGAGTTTATAATTTCTATATTCTTAAAAATAAACGATGAGGTAATCGTCCGTTAGTCGAATTTTTAAGTACAACATCTTAAAATACGACTGCTTAGTATTTTATTAAAAAAATTATTTTTATTTTTTTAAAACAAGAAACATTATTACTAAAATAAAGACTGTTTCAGTCTTAGTTGATTTTATAATTTTCTCAAATTTGTTTCAATTATTTTTCATCAATTTATCGTCATTTTTCTTTATATATCAAATTATTTTTATTAATATTGCACTGTAAACTGTATTTAAACGTTACAATCTAATACCATTGTATGTTGTATTTTATTTAATAATAAACAATAGATATATTCATTCAGGAATAATGCTATTTATTGTACAATAATAATATATGTGGCTTATCATATATTTCAATATTCAACCACAATTAAAATACAAATGCATACATTCAATTTATCGTTACGATACTTTTATTATTAATGACTTAAAAGGGCATTTTTTTTTTTATATTCACAATATATAAAATAAAACATTTTTTCCAAATCTTTTTGGCATTAAAGTGCATTATATAGTTTTCTATAAATCATACGAAATTTTCTAACTTTACCTATAAACTACTGCGGTTACATTATAAAGTAGAATAATGTGGTGGAAAAATTAAAAGATTATACACATTTAAAAGTTTCTGTCTTTGAGCGAAAAATGAAAGTTATTGGTATTTAAGTCATGGGTTCTTAAACACTTTTTAGTGTAGTAATTATACTTTTAAAGTTTCATGTAGGTAATATACTTTTATTACAATATGAATGTGTATTCATGTTTTATATTGTATATTAAAAAATGTTTGTATAGGGAAACTTAATATACTATAAAATTACTATCATGAATCGTTTATTATATAAAGTAAATAACCTTCCAGTTTTTTCGTCCTAATATAGTAAAATTAATAGTAAATGTACACCTAAATTGAATATTTGTGCTTATGGTGAATTTATTTATAACAAGATTTTTAGTTTTATTAATTTTCTAAATAAGCCAAAAACCGTAGTAATTTGATACTTATTTTCGCCATGGGTTATATAATTCTGTGGTTATAACTAACAAGTTTTTTAAAATTAATATCAAACAATAGTTTTCAAACACTGTACGTTTTTTTTAAAAATATATTGATATTTACTATATATTATAATCATTATTTTTTAAAAAAAAAAGTTCATATATCTTTAAAATGAATACATAATATAATTATTATTCAATCGATATATCTTGTGTCTTTAAATGCATTGAAGATATATTATCTAATTTTTTCATACGATTATGCAAGATACAGATATCATTAATAGTTCTTAGTATCTTACTAAAACAATTTTTTTTGTTGATCTATAATAAATAATTATTATTTCGTCTTGCTGTTACCCCCAATTGTTGCAGTTTATTTTGTTTAGTAGAGCATTGCTTTAACATTTACAATAAAAATGGGAATTCGGGTTTTGTATTTAGTTTTTATAATTTCGGTCATTCAATCATTTGTTTAAAACATACGAAATATAATATTTTTAAATATACATAGCTAAAAAATACATTTTTACATAATATGCTATAGGTAAATAAATTATATCAGTCATAAATATATGGTAAAACGAATCAAAGCGGTAAAATAAAATAAAATAAAAAGTACTTTTGTGCAAATTTAAATAAAAAAATTACGTTTCCGTATTAATTTTGAATGATTTTTCAACATTCAAACGATCAGAATACTTCAGAAATTATATTCACAGATCGGATGGAAGTATTAAATTAAACATTTGAATGTTTGTACTTGATAATTAATTTGTTTTTTTTTTCGTTTTGTTTTTTAGCGTCATCACATTCTCAGATTAATATTAATTATTTCCCCGTAAACGAAGCTAACTCACCATTGGCCGTTTTGGATTTACTCGAAGCTACTATGCAAATATACCACAGTTATCATAATCATTACAGCGGTAGTACAACTAAAAATGATTCCACGACTAGTTTCACGATGGGAGTGGTACTCGTGGCCATATCGGACGACGAATTTTCGAATTCGGACGTGTTTCCGCCAAACCGTTTGAGGCCAGCGTACAGCATGCAAGGTACACGCATAATAAATATGACATTAGACAAGACCGATTAGCATTTGAGAAAAAATAAATTAAATAAATTAAAAATAATATCAAGAAATAATCTTTTCGATGCAAACGTAATAACATTCCAACGAACTGTAGGTACGTCGAGACAGCTAAAAGTTCCCGACATCGTGTACAAGCGTGCTGTTCAGTTACTCAGGGACGCCGACGAGCTGACGATAGCGGCGGTCGTGCGGCAAGAACGTGCCAACACTGGATCCATAGTGTCGTTTTCGCTGGACTCCAACAGGTATGCGCGCGTCGCCAAGACGATGATGGTGATATCGATGCTATCGAAAAGTTACGGACTATATGAAGTAATCGATTGTCATTTGCGCGTAGATATTTGGAACTGGAGTCGAGCGGGCGCAAGGACGAGGTGAGATTGCATTACGTGTCCCAAGGCGGTCGTCGCGTCCACACCGAGGTGTTCGCGTACGCCCTGGCCGACGGCAACTGGCACGCCGTGGCCGTTACGCTGAGCGGCGCCCAGGCCCGTCTGTTCATCGACTGCCGGCTCGTGTACACGCGCACGTTGCCTGCTGGTCCGGCCGATACCAGTTTCGCGGGATCGCCGGACTTGTACGTGGGCCAGCGCAACAGAGGAGTGCATTCAATTTTCAAGGTAGGTATCGCATAACGAATGTGTAACCGTGGATCGTTCAAACGTGATGGGCTTCACGATAAGATGGAGTTGCCGTTCGTACGGCGGTATTTCCGCTCTCCGAGTGACGTGCAGCCGTTCGGAGAGAAGAAATCGTCTAGTTATTTATATTTCACAAAAAAAAAAAAAAAATTAATTAAAAACATTAAAAAAAAAAAAAAACCGTAGACCGAACGCGATTTTAACCGTGCCTGTATGTTGTGCACAGGGCCTCATGCAAGACGTGCGGTTGATCAGAGGAGCGGACGGACAGCGCGTGCAGTGCCCTAGCCTGGACACATCGTGTCCGACATGCGGTCAGTTCATCGCCATGCAAAAAACGATGGAAAACTTGAATAAAATCGTGCACTTGTTGAGCAATAAGGTGCGTAATATGGTATCGAGAATACGGATTCGTACAACTAGATCGCCGAATCTATAATATTATTCAACGACGTATACAATTATGAAATCATTTGTCTCTTAGACAATGTTTGCAAATTCTTATCATTTTCATACCGTCTCAATGTCGAATTGATAATTTATATCATGGTAACAACACTGCCCTAGTAATACTATTCCCAAAATGTGTTTTACTATTTACTCCATGCCACAGAATATTAACCTATGAGTAAAAATTGTCCAAGTTAAACACGAATACCAGCATAACTTAACCTATCTAGTTTTTTTTTAATAAATCTGTGGTCAATAGTATGAATAAGCCGTGTTAATCGAAATGTATATGTTTATTTTTTCACTTCCATGTGCACAGCTCGAAGCGGCTGAAACGAGAATTGCCGAGCTAGAAACGTGCGAATGTCGTAAACCGTGTTTGCAGATTGACGAACGGAACAACACCATGGTAAAGATCGACGGGTCGGTGTGGCAACACGAGTGCGATATGTGCACATGTATGGTAAGTATAACCGTGGTTTTCATCACCTCGGTGGCTTCATATAATATTATAGGGAAACATTCAAATCAAAATATTCGAATATTTTTCGTTTCCTCAGCGCGGTCGGGTCGAATGTTCGCCCATCAGATGTCCGCCGGTCGATTGCAAGTTCCCCACGCGGAAACCTGGTGAATGCTGCGAGACCTGTCAGAGTAAGTGATATCATTAATTTTACATTATTACATGACTATTTCATTGAGATTGCCATTGTATAATGTAACGATGATTTTCAGAGCCATGCAGAGCAAAAGGCGATGTCGTAGTAGAACACGGCGACACTATTAATTACGAGCCGTGTTTGAGTTGTAACTGTCTCAATGGTGTACTGAAATGTGATAAAGTCGATGCGAAAACTCAGTGTCCAGTCTTGGAGTGTGACGTGTCTGAACAGTTCTCTGTTCCCGATCAGTGTTGTAAATTTTGCCCAGGTAATTAAAAATTTAACTAGATTCGAACCACATTGATTATCGTTAAACCGTAAATTAACATAGTTTTTTTTCTTACACCCGAACCTTAAACTTTACTTCCTCCAACTAATATTGCTATGAATATTCTTTAAGACAAATAAAAAACAAGAAATGCAATAGTACAATTAGTATAATTAAAAAACTTACACTATATATTAGGTAATATAAAGAATATGTTATTGTAACTGAGCAAAGAAAAACAAAAAGTTAATTGTTAAACTATCATTACAAATGATTTACAAAAAAATACTGTCATTGTATACAAGTTTAAGTGTTATTTTAAAATAATATTTCTTATAAACTGATTGTAACTTAATCAGCTATAATTTTTTTTCATTATTTTTGCTAGAAGAATACGTTGCAACTCACCTTAATTGAACTTGATCTATAACATTCATTAATTGATTTAACAAATACTTGTTAAAATTAATTATACGTTCTCGTAAGACATAAAATATTAAATAAATTTGAAACGCTAATCTAATTTAAAAACTATGAAATAAAATAATAAATACCTATATGAATAATTAATTCCGAAGTGTTGGGGGCAATTTCTAAAACAATACTCTCCTAAGCACACCACATAATTCGATTTTTTTTTATTTTATTTTATAATTATATCTACAATTTTTTTAAAAAAATTAAAAGTTTAATACTTGAGAAATGAAGTTTTTTATGTTTTAAAATAGAAACTCAATGGGATTTAAAGTATGAACATAAGTTTAATTTATTTATATATTGGTGAAAATTAAATTTATCGTTCCGACAGAAGGCTATATTACTATCAACATACGAAAGTCAGTTGACAACGAAATAAGATACATCATATGGGTTACATATTGCCTTCTTAGTCACATGTGTTTCAAAAACAGTTAATCTTGAACATGTGTTATCCATTCTATTGCTAAATTATTAGTGGTTAGGAAATAAATAACGTAACATACCCATATTAAATCACTCGTTGAAACTAGTTACTCTAAATAATAATAAATAATTTATTTGGTATTCATATAAAATCATTTTCGTATAGTATTCCATTTCAGATTTTTAAATTAAATAATATTTATGATATTAAATATATATATATATATATCATAAAACTTAAAAATATAAAAAAAAAAGAAAAAAATGATTACATGTATTGAAAAGCGTACCTAGAACAATATTTTTGGGGGAGGTTAACAGGACCCATTAACCCCTTTTAGTTACACCACTGCATATATTTATTATTTAAGTGCGATTTCATGAATATCGATTAATAATTTAGAAATTAATCTTCTATTTCTTTAAAAAATATTTGGTGACATAGATTCATTATTTAATAAATGGATATATTTATGTTAATATTCACTACATTTATCCCAACCATATTTTAATCGATAAAAATTAATTTTTGTTTTAAATATGATATTTTCAATGGAGAGAGAAATATATTAACGTATGCGTTTTTACCTATATCTTTCAGTTGTAATAGTATTTTAAAAAATTTTAAGTATTAATGAAAAATGAATTAAACATTTTATATAATCAATTTACACCAAATATTCATCTTAAATATGCTAAGATAAATTTGGTTGTTTTTAAACTTACACTCACATAACATCGCTACCTTAAAAATCAATCCTATTGATCACCCCAAGTTTTGACATTTTTTCACTCCAACTGTGTTTGTTTCAATTCCCTGTAATCTGTTTGATAAGATAAATAGCAAAGGTCAAAAGGTTTATACTAGGTGTTATTATTTCATTGATCCTATGATATTTGATATTCTTGCTATTATATAAAATATTGTTGCTCCAAATTCTGAATGATTAACGTTAATCATGTGTGAAAATAGAAAAACACACGCTATAACTGGATTATAAATTATATATTTATAGATTTTACCACGAATATAGTGTTTATTACAATTTTCGTCTAATTTTAGGTTGAAAATACATTTTCTTACAATTTATTAGCAATGTTATAAGCACAAAAATTAGCATGTTATTAGCAAATGTGAATAACTGCCACGTCGTTAATATTTAAAAAAAATATTTTTTTATTAAATCTTTTTTTAAGTCAATTTAATTTAAATTATTATTAATGATGACACAGTGGCTTTGGATTTAATCCAGAAGGTCCGACGTTGTTAACGTCATCGTAATTAACATATTAAAAAAAAATTGGGTTTAGGAAAATCGTTTTTTGCTCGAAAACGAGTAATAAAATAGCTAATAATTGGACGGTGGGGAGGAAAATGACCCAAATCGAATAAGATACTTTCAAAGTCCCGCGTATAATTTTAACCTAATATTTTGTTAATATAATATTGTAATTTTGTATTTCTGTGTGTGCGCGTGTTTGATAACGCTTATGCAGGCGTCGATTATTGCGCTCGAGGTGGACGTGACTCGTGTCATCCGAATGCTACTTGTATCAATCTAAAAACCACACACAAGTGTGCTTGCGCTGTTGGCTATGCTGGCTCCGGTTTACAGTGTGATGGTAACTACTAACCGTATTAATACGTTTTTGCTTATTAATCTATTGAATGCATTATAATTAATTTAAAAAACACAATTTATATAACCGACACACTAACGACAATACCATGTTTTTGAATATTTTACCAAAAATAAAGTTTTAATAATATCAAAATACCATAAAATTCGTTGCGATTGTATTCAAAACTTTAATGTTTACCATATATCATACGACGCTTTCCTTTCACAAATATTTTTTTAGTCAGTTAATTTATTAATTTTTTTAATTTTACATTTACAATGGGTAGGTGGAGCTCAAAAATAAAACGATATCTATCAATATTTCGTGAAATTATTTATTCAATACACATTTAGTATCGATAGAGGGATCGTTATTGGTAATTTTTAAGTAATGTACAAAGAGAGAGTTTGCGCTTGCAGATAGGTAGACGAAGAACGAAACTAATACGATATCTATCAATATTTTGTGAAATTACTTATTCAATACACATGAAGTATCGATTGAGGGATCGTCATTGGTAGTTTTTAAGTAACGAACAAAGGGAGAATTTGCGTTTGCAGATTCTGAGAATGAAAGATGAGTGAACGGGCGTTTAGTCAAGTGAACAGCGAGTTTAATATCGGTCAACTTAACTAGAGTGAGACGACTCAACATCAGACCAAAAGTTTTCAAAGAAACGTGAGGCCAAAGGGTTTACGATGGAGTTGTACTCCCTTAGTTGGAATTCATAAAAATGTTTTCCCTGAAAAAACTTTTTTCGCCGTAGACAAGTGTTCGTGTATTGTCGTTAGCTTATCGATAACCGTCACAAACGTATTCACGAAATCATGTTTAACGAGAATCGTACAATTCCCTCCGCAGACGTCGATGAATGCTTGAGCATCGGCGGTCAAAACGGTCATCATTGCGACGCGAACACGACGATCTGCGTGAACACGCCCGGCTCGTACACGTGCAGGTGTAACGCCGGATACGCGCGACTGAATCGGTTCGAATGCGCTGACATCGACGAGTGCAGCAGCGACGAGGAGCCGCCGTGCCACGTGCACGCCACGTGCACGAATTCGCCCGGAAGTTACAGTTGCAAGTGCTTGGACGGTTACGAAGGTGACGGATATACCTGCAGACGTGAGTACCTAAGCAACAGCGATGTTAGGCTTTAAACGCCAGTGCTCAAAATCGGAAAATCTCAATTAAACCATTTTCAAATTTCAACTCGATCGATTTTCACTACGCGTGGACCAACTTTTATTTTATCTCGCCGTAACGTCGCACCCTCCGAATACGCGTCCGCCGCCTGGCCATAATCATCGTATAGAAACCACGCGGCACGTGTAAATAACGATCGGTTACAAGTTTTAATTGTAACGTACGATTAGAATTGTCAGTTGAATGCGTAGAGTTTTGTTAAAAAAAAAAAAATCATTTTCATTTCATACGGAACAGATACGGAAATTGTACAATTGTACGTATGATACTGTTGTAAAACGTAGTCAAAACAGTCGAGTAAAACGTCCGACTCGAGCACCGGCAATGTTGACCTAATGTTCTGAAATAACAAAGTGCGTTTTATTTTTTTTTATTTTTTTATGCCGACGCGTGCAGCCGTGTGCCAACAGAAATGTCTGAACGGCGGCGTGTGCGCGCGCCCCGGCGAGTGTTCGTGCCCGAACGCGTTCGAGGGACCGGCCTGCGAGCTGGACGTGGACGAATGCGCGACCGGCGCGCACGGGTGTCTCGGCCCGTCGTCCCGCTGTGTCAACATGGCCGGATGGTACTATTGCGCGTGCAGCCCCGGCTACCAGAGCGTCATCATGACGTATCCAGCTTCGTCGGCCGCCGTGGCCACCACGGCCGCGCCCGCCAACGACTTGAACGTCCTGGTACCCACGTGGTCGCCTTCGCTGGGCACGACGTGCCAAGGTGAGTTGTATTGTAACAAGGTGGTATTTCAACCGTTTTTCTCTATGTTGATTGTACGCAGGGGAGGGGGAAAGCACCACGTGCGTCTACTATTTAACGATACGGACAACAAGTATAATATTATAATCGTTACCATAGGCGTGCAATGCTTTTGAGTCCTTTCTTAACAAAACGTGTAGGTTTATTTAAAAATTATAATGTATAAATAATTAGATAAACATAACTTTAATTTTTTATTTAATACTGTGGTAAATTAGCCCCGATGCGTAATATGTTTCCCTTGAATTTCATATATTTTTCTTAGATAACTTCAATTGTTCATGATTTGTACTTTTATTGCCGTTAGAAAAAGTTTTTGTGCAAAATTTATAAAATTTAGTTTTTATCAATTATAACATTTTTTAGAATAAATTACGTTAATCTGAGCAACATTGTTTAAAATATGGGCCCCTTAATCTTAGACTTAAATTGTAGGGCTCCATTTACAACATTTGGGGGAGGCACAACCGGCACCCGCCGTTCGCAGGCCAATGATCTTTCACACATCGGTTTTTTGTTCGTTTTTTATTCAGATGTCGACGAATGCGCGACAAACAATCACACTTGTCACCCATCGGCTACGTGCGTGAACACCGTGGGCTCGTATGAATGCAAATGCACGACGCAAATTTCGTCTTCCAACACTGGTAACGCCTCGTCAGAATGCAAATCGAGTGAGTATCACCGTTCCGCAAAGACGATGACGATGGTTCGAATATGCTTTCGTCGTCGTTTCCGTAATTGTTATTGTTAATGTATGTTTTTCGTCCTTCCCCGCTCCCCCGACACATTCAAGGTTGCGTGCACAAGGATAGCAAAAACGTCAGCACCGAAGTGGACGACGGTGGATGGTTCGTACCCAAGGAGTGTACTAACTGCACGTGCACCAGTGGACGTTTGTTGTGCACGCGCATCGAGTGTGATTGCGCGGTCGACGATCACGTGCAGTCGGTCTGTTGCGCCCATTGCAACGCACAAGCGTCGTGTGCTCACCAAGAGCTGCCGAACGTGAGGTTTCGCAGTGGCCAACAATGGATTTATCAGTGTCAGACGTGCGAATGTTTGGTGAGTACACCATAATCGATAACCAAATTGTATAATTATTATACCACGTTGCAAACGTTAAACGCTCGGTCGCACCGAGTGAAATGTGGTCGGGGAAACGAACGAATCGACGAAATCTGACAACATTAAATATCAGATTAATCATCAGATAATCATAATAATATCATACTCATTAGATTTTCATTTCGTACTTGACCACGATCGGTTTCGCGGTCTTTACGTACAACTGGTTCGCACGGATCGTTTGTAAAGGGTCGTTGCTTGCAACATGGACACCGACATTAGTAATCTAAATTAATACTAATCGTATATTTTATTGATATCAAGTAGCTATAGGGGAATGAATACTTGGTCACAAAAGTGTAGTTCATTTTTATCAGTACACTCGTAATTACATATCATTTGTTATTCAGAGTCCGGTTTGTATTCGAACGTTAATAAAATAAATATTGTCTAAATCATTACTCCATGATTTGTTCATTAATCAAATTACCGATATGTTAAATTTAAAAATATCCGAATCATTATAAATTGTACGAAAAATACTAACAGATTTCTAACACTTGAATAATTCGAAAATGAATCCAAGATTCATATTTTAACCAGTCAAATTCCTCGTAGTACATTTGTTCTTTTTAATTTCAAAATGGATACGTTCAAAATGTCTGTCATACATTTATTTTGTTCTCAGCATAGATTTCATTCACATTCAAATATATCAATAAAAGAGATTTGTATAGATACGCAAAAAGATTAATAATGTGAAATTTTCAATTAAAAATTAATTTTTTCCTCGTCGATTACAATTCAATCCTTTTAATGTTTAGGTGGATTAAAATGATACTTTTAACAAAATCTGAAATCTCCAAAGTATTTCCAAGACTTATTACACTTTCAGTGAATATTTCAACACATGCTAATTGCATGATTATGCTAACAGACACCTCGTGTTCACTATACCTCTTTCTTACAATCATCGGTTTTGTTATACAGTTAGGCCAAGTTGATTGCTGGCCTATGCAGTGCCCACCGGTTCTGCCCTCGGGAGTGGGTGGATGCGCAGCGGACTCCACAGCGTCAACGTTTGCAGACTACAACAATCCGGTGGCCGATTGTTGCGCGCCGAGGTGCGATTCAAAAGTCTCGTTGTTGTCTTCGTCTGCCACGCTCACCTCGACCGCGGCCACGGCAACCGATCCGTGTACCGAACTCGACGAGTACCACGATGGAAGCGGCGGCGGCGTTAGTGGTGACGGCGACGACGACAAAAACGGCAACAAATCTTTGCCGCAGACAGCAGGCGGTAGACCATGTTTATATGAAGGAAGTACTTATCAGTCGGGAGCTCGTTGGGATGATCCAGGAGACATGTGCACTTCGTGCGATTGCAAGGTAAAGATAATGAATAAAACAAACGCTATAGTCATAACCGTAAATATATGAACGTCTGCGGGTACACTATTTGTACAGAACAACAGTTTAACCCCGCGACGTAGAAGTGTAAAACGTAATACGTGGTATTTTAGGCTCGAATAATGATGAGAGCTTTGAGGGCTTAGTCCTTCCAGAATAGCAAATAATCCCTATCAAAAATTGTTCAATTATAAAATAATTTGAATGTTAAGACATAAAAAAATATAAAATAAAACATTTAATTATTCTTATTATCATAGCCTGCTAATGATATTTTAATTATATATTTTTTCTTAACTAAACGATGATTATTTGCTACGTTATTAGTATAGACCTACCAACTACTTAAGCTTCCACAAATTGTGAATGCTATTCTTGCCTACGATGCATACACCGTATATGTAATGTAATAATAAAAATCAAATCAAATAGAACACATCATTGTCATTTTTTGATCATTGGTATATTATAATACGCATTGTGCGGATAATATAATTTTAATAGTATGTTTAATCCCAAATGAAATCCTCCGGGCAGACTAAAGAATACTCAATAATACGTTCTCACTGATTTAAGATAAATCAGTCCTCATCAAAAAATAGTTGAGGTCATCAAAAATGAATGTACATCTTACAAAATCGGTTATCATTTTTTGCACATACAAGTCATACATCAATATTCGTGTTCTACCTTTTATCATTCGATAATATTATACACTCAATTATAGTAAAAATGATTAAAACGTTATATTCGTTACTGCAGGAAATCATTAACCGTCGAGCGTCACACGTTGTCCCAGTTATTTCCGGGAAAAAGAAACAATAATTCTTTATTAGTAAATCCTGAGTATAAAAATATGAAATTCAGTTATTGAGACATAAAATCATTTAGATCAAAATTGCTATCCAATACATACATAATTTCTTAAAATTTTAGTTACATTACCAATTTCTATAGCAATAGTAGAAAAATGCTATTCCTCTTTAAGGATGCTCAAGACTTGGTTAAGGACGAGAACGGGAAAAGAAACATTGACTGGGTTGGTTCTTATGTACACTCATAAGTGTAAAAAAATTGACAGAGAAAATAACAAAAATAAATATATTTAACAGATTTTCTGAAAAAAAACAACGAAAACTTAATTTCGAATTATAAATATAAAGCATACTATTAATTTGTAATACCATAATATTATGTTATTTTATTCCCTTAATAAGATTTAACTTTGTTCCTAAAGCTATAACTTACTATACATATATGGCTATAGACGGCTATGCCCCCCCCCGTGAAAAATGTCTGAATCCGCTCCTGACCATGTGCTATTTTATACAATATGATGTAGTTATTTTATAAACAAGAACAGAGTTCATTCCCAATTGATTTATATACATTGTAATTATACATGTTGGCCGATGCCGTTTAAAAATTTGTTAAAAATTGTTATATATATATATATATATATATATATGTATATAACACATGTGTATATACGTATAAATATTTAAATATTTTTTAACTACCATAATCAGTATCTTTGTCGTGCATGCATAATATATAGTGTGTTTACCTACGTATAATGTATACGAATGTATGCGTGTGTTAATAACGCTGGCTGGACGATTTACCTAATTTGAATTATTATCATTATTACGTATTACCGGAGGGGGGGATTGATAAAATACGTAATAATAGTATCTTGCATCGCGTAACAATGCAAATCCGTTGAAATATTTACAAGAAAATTAATCATCCATTTCTCTCTCTCTCTCTCTCTCTCTCTCTCTCTCTCTCTCTCTTTTTTAATTTTTTTTAAATTTTTTTTTTTGTTTATTATAACCAGTTTGTGTGTGTGTGTTGTTAATAAAAGTTTTGTGTGTTTCCATTCAGGTGCCGCCATACTGCGCCCAATCGGTGAGCAATATCGCGTGTTGTGTGCATCGGTAAACTCTCACATCTTTTTTTTTAACCAATATAACCTTTATATAATTCGGCTTTCTGTGCTGCTACTATACTGTATACTACATCGATTTTATTTATCATTTATCCTATTTGTACATTATATTTTTATACGGTTTATCAGCTTTTATAGATTTTTTTTTTTTTTTACTCCTCCCGCGGCCCGTCGTTCATCGTCGATCATTTCTTTCGATGTCAGTGTATACCTACCTGTACCGTTCGCGATGTTCGGCGTTTCAGCGCATACACCATCGCCATCACCACCATCACAGTTACCACCACGCATGCACATCCAATTTATATTTATGTTAACACTTGCACGATTTTACCCGGTTGATTCTGTGTTGTATGTTTTACTCTTACACTCAAACGATTCGTTTGAACTCTTGCACTCGTATATCACTATTAGAACCACGCACGCGCATGCACTCACATTCGCTCGCTCCCGTATTTTCGTCGAATCTTATTTGAAAAAATATATATATATATGTATATGTATGATTAAGTATTGATCATTGATCTTTCATGATTGTATTAAAATGCAGGTCACGAATAATATCTTTTGCGATTATTATAAACATAAATACGTTACCGGCAATATGGATAATCTGGTATTTTGCGAAATGCAAAAAATCACTCGGCAATATACATAATACGAGCTTTGCCTAGGTGTTATATATAATGCTAAACGTGGAGTAGGCAATATGATGAAAACAAACAAAATTGGGCATCGCCTATTACCAACGACTTTATCATAAATGTGCGTGCGTGATTTAACGCAATAAAGATTCTTTTACTACTATAATAATAAGTGGCGGATTTAGCGTTTTGGCGTCCCTAGGCTTAATCACCCTGTCCAATCCACCTATCACTCTACTAAGGAACCAACAATATTTGGTCTAAAACGGAAATATAAATAGCCAGATATGAAAATACCTATACTCGGATAGTCGGATGTTCCCAATAAGCACATAGGTACTAATAAGTTATTAATAATAACTAGTAACTAACTGTAATTATTTTATTTAAAATAAAATATTTTCAAATTGTAATAATAATTGTAATATTCTTAATATAGCCTATAAGTACGCATCATACAATGTACATATATTCGTGTTTATATGACAAGTATAAAAAAAATATATTAAAATAAATATATCTAATAAATCAATAATAACACTTAATTCTATAAAAAAAAACCCGCCCTAGGCTATAAGCCTTTTAGCCTGCCTCCTAATCCGCCACTGATAATAATAATTCCGAGGTATAATATTGAACGTACTGATAATTTTATTACAATATCGTCATTTTTCTCATAATTTTCGTGTCTCGTTACGGTGTTACAACTATAGATACGATTTATACGAAGTTAAATTTTTATAGCAAACTGCAAAATTGTTTTAAAAATTTGACCACCAATACTAGTTATTTATTTGATGAATAGTACAACGAATTGATAAAAATTCAATCCACAAGAATTGGCCAAGGATTTTTATAATGTGCTTGTAAGTCCAGTGTCACAATAATAAGGGTATTTGCCTTAAAAATAGGTATATAGTAGTTTCATTAAAATATTTATACAATAGTAATAATATAATAATAGATAAAAATTTAATTTTATCTGTAATATGAGTAATAATATATAATAATTATAAGAATCTTAATGTAATATAACATATGATAAAATGTTTTGTACTTTGCCTAAAAAAAAAATTTGCATTTTGCGTAATACCTAGGCACATTTTATAAAATACCTAGGTTATATGTAAAATAATATTGAAAATCATATGCTTTATTTACATTGCCTAAAATGGGTTGGCAATTTGCATAATGCCTAGGCATTTTGCAAAATACCTGAATTATCCATATTGCCGGTGACATACATATATTAGAAACTGTAGTGCGTTTGATAATTATATAATTAAATTAATGCTCTTTTTGCGCACTCTACTAGACAGCACAAGATTTTTTTTTTGTATTTTAAAAATATACATATATGTGTGTGTGTATAAGTGCACATGGACACACACACATACACACATATATATATATATATATATATATATATATAGTTTTATATATATAATTTACATTTAATTGCCGCCGACATAATATTTTTATTTTTACGACGACGACGACAAAATAACGAGCGTCTGTCGGCGGCGTCGTCCGACTTGCACTTTGTCGTTTATGTATAATAAATAACGTTTATTTTTAGGACGGAGTACTATGTTGTTCTTTTAACGTGCACCACTGCAATAAAAGTGCTATTGCCCGAGCAACAAGCAATAATGCAACGAACGAAGACGTCGGCTACGATGTGTCTACTTATCAGCCTCGTCGTGTTTCAAACGAAGACACCATCAGCAGCGGCGGCGGTGGCGGCGGCGGCGACGGTGGCGGAGGCGAGCCTGCCGAGGATACGACACTACGGGAAGACGCTGATGAGCGGAGCGTTCGGCATCGGAGACAGGCTGAAGTGGTCGCCGACGGCGGGGACACTTTCGATGTTACTGTTGTTGAACACCGCGATTATAATAATAATAATAATCTTAACAAAAAAGACTGGTGGTGGAGGAAGACGAGACGACGGAAAAGGAGAAGGCCTCAGAATACGGGTAGCAATCGGCATCGAACCAATGGCATTACTAGTAGCGGAAAAACTTTCGACAGTAACTAATGATAATTTTATCGGTAATAATTACGACGTTTATGGTAAAAATGAAGACAATAATATTAATAATAATAATGATAATAATTGTAACGATAACCACCGCGATAGAACTGCTGTAAAGACTGTTGTAATTTAAAAGTAGATTTTATTTATTGCGTTTGATGTTTGAGCGTTGAACGTGTCAGACGGGTCGAGAGAAAATAAAAACTGTAAACGGCACCAGCGGCAACATGAATATACATAATATTATATGACATTTGAATAGTCTACGACACGGTATTATAATTATTAAAATTATATCGATGTTGATAATGATGATGAAGCTGGTGACGATAGTAATAATAATAATCAAATCAAATGTACTTGAACGCAATAAAGTAGTCGCGTTGTACCTATTCATATTTTTTTGGTTTTAATTTCAATATACTCGTTCGAAATCGTTGCCATCGCTGTTTACTATTTCCGCTGTGATAATATGTAATACAAATAATTTTAATGCTATTAGTGTAACATGTATACATTATTTATGTACACACAGCCTTTATCGTCCCTCTCCTTTCCGCTGTAAATTTGTTATATTTTGTAATTTTTAAACTGTACTATTATAATATTATTAGATAAGTTTTATTATTATTATTTATTTATTTTATTTATTTATTTACTTTTTTTTTTCCTTTTTTTTTTTTTTTTTTTGATTGAATTACTAATAAATTAGATAATCAGCTGTGCAGGGTGTATTCAACAAACGATAATAATATAATAATACGGTATAATAATTATTATAAATCTATATAACCTTACAAGTTATTCATGTGTTGGGGCTTTGTTGGTATTAAAATTAAAAAATTATTATTAGAAACAATTAATTATGTTCATTGTTATTTTTTTATAACTAAAATACAAGACTGCTGGTCAACAAATATAAAATATAGACGCGTACAAAATATAAATTATTATATTCGAATATATAGTATACATGTATATTATTTTATAATATAATATTATAATTTAATATTAAAATTAATTATTATAATATATCCATATACTCGTATATATACCAACACCGCCACACTCTGACGAATGCTCTTTTCTTGTATAAATTTAATTGGCAGCAGACAATAAAAATATTAAATGATGATAATAATTATTATAAATATAAATATATTTAATTTGTATGTACGCATATGATACCTATTATATATATATATAACTATTAATATTATAGATTAATTTTGAATTGTTAAATTAGTTATACTATTGTTTTATTGTTACGCGTTACGACACGGATTTGCTCTTTTTCTTTCTATCTGTCTCGTTCAAATGTGTTGTAATTAAAAAATATTTATAGATCATATATGATGATACTGATATTTTAAGTAAGACAGAATAATCAGTGCTCGAGATGGACTTATCCGTTCTGGAACGCTGTTCCGGTTTGTCACATTAATCTTTCCGATTGTTTCAAATCGTTTTAATATTAAAAAGTTTAAATTTAAAAAAAAAATGAGTACATCGTGTTTCCTTTAATTTTTTTCTATACATTATATACATATATAAGGTAAAGATATAATGCATAAAACCCAAAAATATTAGATTTAATTTAATGTCAAATGAAATGTACCTATAATATATATTATAAAATGTTTAATCAAATATTTACTTTTTAGCTATTTTAAAAAGTATTTACAATTATTGTTTGTCTTTTGTAATTATTTTTAATAAAATTGTAATTAAAACGCTATTCCTTTAAACAATTTGTTAAATTAATGAAACTAATTTAAAAACAAAACCCTTTCAACTCCTCTATTATGTCGATTCGAATCGATTTTTGTGAAGTAGGAATATAAAGCGTTTCAGTACAGAATCATTTTTATTTCGAGCACTGAAAATAATAAGCCCATATTGTTCCTATAAAAACCGAGTCGTATTAATTATTTAATATTTATTTATTTAAAATAGAAATTTAATATTATATGTTGATCATGTATGGATTTAAAACACAGCAACAACATAAGATATACTATATATGTAAATATTAAATATATATATATATATAATATATGATAAGTAATACACATTTAAAACACATATTCGTCAATGTAAACAAGAGTAAAAATCACGATACGTGGTATTACATAAAGTCATGAACACTCACACACCCACACACACACACACACACACACACACACACACCCACACACACACACACACACACACACACACACACACACACAGACACACATATGCGCGGATACACACTCACATACACGTTTATACGATGTACACCTACAGTTTAACGTTTATAATCATGATTGATGATGACACTGTTGATAATGATTAATATAGAGATGAGAATAAAAATTTAAAAAACATTTATTTGTATTTTGAAGTACATAAAATCCTGTTATTTTATTTCCAACTTAGAAAGCTCTCTAATAGCTAAAATATTATTTGATTTTTTTATTTATTAATATTCATATTACAGGCCATTTTTATGAACGTTTTCTGTATTCGAATGGATATTTAGTCAAGTATAATTCAATAAGGCTACAAACAGTCAGCTAATTGACTAATGACTCATTAATCAGTCTGTATTGATAATGAATTGTATAATTTAAATGCACTCTGATATTTACTATAAAATATTATTGTAATGTATTATCATAACTATTATACCTTTAGAAACACAATACTTTTATTTTATTTACACAATATATGTACACTATACATTTTACAGTATATTTTGTATTAATATGTAAAATTAGGAATTGTGAAGACGTAATTTATTATATAACTGTATTTAGGAATAAGCTATCGAAACCAGTTTCAGCTGACACTGCTTTACGTGCTAACAAAATGGAGTATTTGGTGCCTTTGTTAGGAATATTAAGCACCTCCAATCCTATTATTAGTAACACTACGACTTATTAAGAAATGTTATTGTATTTTGAAAATTTGCAATCATTATTTTATGTGATTGCATTTTAGAAAATTTTTAAGTATTTAAAATCCTTTAATTATGTTTTATTTTTAATTTATTAAGCAGGGTGAAGTGTAGTTTCTCATAAAATATACTTAAAATAGTTATTATAATAATTATATCCGAATTCAACCCCCCACCCCAGGGCCAAAAAAAAGAAAATTGTTTTATTATTGATGACGTGTAATATATTCGTAGTTTCATTATTACGCTTTGAACTTAAAATATACAACTATACAAATATTATGATAATTAAATAATTATATTGATAGGTGTTTGAAAAGTTTTGTTAACTATATTGTTTTTATATTCCAATAGCTATTAATTTACTGTAATGTAAAAGTAAACTATAAATTGGTAAAAAATTTGTATAAAATAATATCTGTTTATAGCAGTAATTTATCTTATTTATCAGTGCAACGAAAAAAAAAAAATAACAATTATTTTTGTTAACCCCCCTCCCCCAGAGCAAGATCGAATATACGCCACTGATCATGTCTAAATATAGCTATATATAATGATACTTTATACTAATTGCGCCGAAAATCGCAAGTAAATAAAGAAAAATTATGGTATGGAAAAAAGGTATACATCTATTGTACCAATCGATATTCGAGTTAATACATTTTGCGATTACCTCATTGATACATTTATTGATGAAAATGTAACTTTTCCTCCGTATATTTGGTCATCGTGTAACATATCAGGCGAAAGAACAACAATACCTATGAGGCATTTCACTCATTGTTTGGGAAATATTTTTATTCACAACATCCAAATATTTTTGTTTTTTATGAAGTTTTAAAAATAATGTAACGCAACAATCATAATATATGTTATCTTAGTTATCATAAATAGACAAAACTCTAAATTGATGACAAAAAAATAAATAATAAAATAGACATAACTAATTAGATCTAAGAACTTTTCAAAATTTGTAGGATTTGTGTAAATATATATATAATATACTATTAGTGTTAATACCAAGAGTATGTAGGATGATAAGTTTGATTTTAATTTTAACATTTGTTTTTAGCCATTATGATTTTTACTTGTACTGTATAATTGTTATACTGGCGCAATATATGTATACCTTTTAAATATACCCTTTTTATATCGGTGCCAAAGATGTATACTATACAGGTAGCGTCCCAAATTCGGTGCAATTGACGAATACCATATAGTGAATCTTACGCTACAGCGGAACAATATTTGTCAAAAGTAAAAAAATTAATATAAATCCACCTTGGATATGATAATATATATATATATGTTACGCCGAATTTATGAAATTGCCGATTTCATGAAAGCAGCAACGTTGTCGCCGAATACGTGTAATCGGTAATTTGGCTACGATTTCATGAATTATGCAGCCTTTTTCTGCCGATTGCACGAATTCGGTAACACATTATTATGATATAATTACAAATAGTGGCTTATGGAAGTAATTGAAAATGTCCTCCCTCCTTTAAAAGTTGGTGAAGATGTACTGGTGTCAATCCCGTCTGTGGATCGAGGACGAGGAGATGCAGCCAATCCTTGCAGTTACTATAGAAAAAAAAGATGGCAAATTTCGTATTGGGAATAAAGAAGGAATTTTAAGCACATGGCTGAAGCCGAACAGTTTGACAACTACAAAGTACTGTTTCCTGACGACTGCAGACGTTCAACAAAATAAATATTCATTACAGGAACTTGTTAGATTGGGGTCAGTTGAGACCGGACAAGGCTATTGATTGGCTATACATTGACGTACTTGTCGTACGAATTGTACATCTAAAAATTGCACATGTAAAAAAAATAATATGATGTGTAATTCGGCGTGTAACCCAGACCATAATTGCCAAAATATTTAAATATAATAACATTTTTTTTTGTTTACTTTTTTTACACATTAAAGCAAAAAATTATTTTATTATATTTCCAGTGTTTAACATATTTATTTAAATTAAATTATGCTTTATAATTTTTTAAGAAGGGCCTTGCCGATTTCACGCAATTGGCAGTATTATGTATTTTGAATTGCCGATTTTACGATTCGGTGACAACATTGCTGATTTCATGAAATCGGCAATTTCATAAATTCGGCGTAACATATATATAAATGAATCCCTATTTCCCTTAGTCACGCCATCACGCGTGAATAGCTGAACCGATTTCGCTAATTTTTTTTTTTTTTTTGTGTGTGTGTTATTTAATATCAGGACAACGTTATTATGAAAGAAAAATTAAGAAAATTGCATGGAAAATTAGAAAATTTAAGAATATTTAACCACTATATAAAATTATTTCTAATCTAACCTTAGCGCTTTAGACAATATAAACTTTTTTAATGTAATCTCTTGACATTTGACATAGAATTGACAGAATGCGTGCTGCAAATATCATCAAATAGGATGTAAAAAAACTGAATATCGTTTAAACAAATATTTCAATCAGAGTTATTTTATTGATAAAATATACATGTAAAATAATTAATATATCTAAATATATCTAATATACACTAATAATTATAATAAATCTAATATAATATAATAATATATAATATATATTAATTAATTATATATTAATATATCTTATTAATATATCTATGTAAGATAATTGAATTTCTCAGTGTACATCACGATTAGTTCA